CTTCATTGATCCTGTTTTTGATTCCTTCCACTGTGTTCTTCAGCTCAGAAATTGTATTCTTCATTTCCTCTTGGCCATTGCTGATAGTTTCTGTTTCCTTTTTCTTGCTGATATAGTTTTCAGTGAGTTCATTGTAGTTTTTCTGTAATTTCTGGTATTTTGCTGTGAGCTCATTGAGCTTCCCAATACGCATTGCTTTGAACTCAGTAACTGATAGTTGAGTTGCCTCTATTTGATTTAGCATTCTTTCTGAAGCTTCCTACTTTCCTTTCATTCGGGGATTGTTTTTTTTGTCTTCCCATTGTTCGTGAGACTGTTCTTGTTAGCTTCAGCTTTTTAAATTGATTTGTTCTGGCTCCCTGCTTCTATGGTGTGAACTTCTGTGATATAATACCTGGGAGATTCAGTGGTGTAGTGTCTTTGATCTTCCAAGCTCACTGTTCTCGGGCTGTCCTTTAAGTTGGCTCTGAGTTTGTCTTTGGGTTTTGGTTGTTTGGGCTTCTTTCTTTTGTGGTTCCTTCCCACCAGCTGGCGAACTGATGGTCCCTCTTTCCACCACCCAGTTTAATTTACTGTGCTGGTGAGGGCCCGTTGTGTTTAAGCTAGTTTTTCTGTGTGTACAAGGTTTTGAGGGTTCTCTTTTGCTCTTGTTTAGTTGTTTTCCCTGGGTAGTTTCTCCACTGTTTAGTTGTTTTTCCAGATAGATCTTGGGATTGAGGTTTGTGTGGTTTTCACACTCTCCTTCACCTTTTTCTGTTGCTATCTCTTGGTGGTTCCTTTGTTGTTGGGTTTCCTCTTTCGGTGGGCATCCTGGTGTTCACTGCTTCCACCAACCCTTTTTGTGTGTGATCAGTTGGAGGGGAACGCAAAATGGTTTATTACAGTAGGAGAGTATTCTATTCTATTTAGAGTAGCAGCTGGTAGAGAAGAGAGTGGAATTCCTTTTGGTATGTATAGTGATAACTGTAATTTTCAACCCAACTAGCCACTTTTTAGAAAGGATGGAAAGGAGGTAAGGCTCTTGTTGGGGAGGGAAGGTTTGTGAGTTGGATCTAAAAGCAGTGAGGTTGTGGGAGGTCAGATTGTGAGGTAAGGTGAGAGGAAAGGATAGTAAATAGGTGTATTGTGTGAGAGAATTGAGTTATTTACTACAGTATTATGCTTCTGGAAACAATGAAGTGGGCTAAGATGTGGGAGGGGTGTTGTGTAGTATTTACAATAGTATGGAACAACTATTATTTACAATAATATTAGAGCAACAATCATATGACAGAATCTAAGAGATACCAAGAATAGGGAGCAATGGACCTTCAATAGTGTGCTAATGGAGCAAGGGGAAGTAAAGGACAGTAAATTGGCAATACAGTATGAATGAGGGGACAGGGAACCTATCAAATGATACAATATATCCAGCCAAGGCAAATAAGACTATACTGAAAGAGGAGGAATACAAAGATACTATTAAAATAAAAGATGTAAGAATAAGGAACAAAATAATACAAATATGCAGCAGTAACTTGTAGTTTCTCTGCTATAGCAAAGTGAAGTTTGTCTCTCTGTGTCTACTGTTGGGATGCCCCCTCTTTGGGTCCAGCTCTGGTCTTTTTGCAGTTCCAAGTTTTTTGTCTCACTTGTGGGGGTGGGGAAGGCAGCAGAAGGGAGGAAAAAGTGATAAGTTTGGAAAGAAAGGAAGAAGGAATAAAACAAGAAAGAGGGAAAGGGAGGGAAGAAGTGTTGAAAGATAAAATAATAATAAAGTTAAAAAAATAAAAGATTACTTTAATAAAATAATAACAAACAAACAAACAAACAAAAAAAGCACCTCTTGTTGGTTTCCAGCCGGCCAAACCAGTTTTTCTGGTTTCACTGGCTGCAGCAGGTGGAGGGGTGATTGGTGTAGCTTTTCTTCATTCTCAGTGTACTCAGCCAGTCTCAGGAGCACTCTCCCAAGATCCGGACCAGCGCCTCCCCCCAGTGCCCCACTCAGGGAATCCAGGTCCTCTTCAGAGAAGTCTTTCCCTGGGAGTTACCACCGTGGGCTGGGGTGCGGGTGCAGGCACGTGAGTGCGCACACCGGCCAGGCTTCCCTGGTCCCTCAGGCTTGGGCTCGAACCTTTCCCAGTGCTAAGGGGGTACGCAAGGGTGACTCTCAATTCTCCCAAGCCGGTGACCACAGACTCCACAGGTGATCAAGGCCCTCACATTTGCCTCCTAGTGCCCATTCCTCTCCGACACTTCAAGCAAACAAGTCTCTCCTGGTGTTTTTCCAACCTTACCCAGCTGGGTAGGGAGGGAGCTGATGACCCAGCTCTCCCCCAGGGACCCCGTTGCCATCCCTCAGCTCCCAAAGAGTCCACAGCAGACCCGGCCAGGGACCCTGGTACCTGGCATGGCCTCTGCACTGGTTGTGTGGACCTTATTGACCTGCAGCCATCTCCTCACTGTCTGGTCTTTCAGTGTCCACTACAATTTATGGACTCCTATTTTCCTATATGCTAGGGCACTGTTGGCTATTTGCTGTGTTCTTCCCCCGATCAGCCAGGTTTTTCTCCCATGTGTGGAGGGAAAAGGAATCTTCTCCATCCTCCTCTGCTGCCATCTTCTTCTCTAATAATACTTCTTAGAGTTGTAATATTAATTATATTTTTAAATTAATACTATTTTATATATTTCTAAAGTATCATTTTCTCTAGAAAATTTGTTGAGACTCTTTTTAAAAAAAACTTGCATGGATTTTATATCTTTGTTCATGCCAGAAACTCATGTACGGGATACTATTAAACACAATGGTGTATATTAAATTGAAAATAGGTTACTAGTTGCCTTTTTTAAGCACTAGTTTCAGCCTAATTGAACATTTATCACTCATCTTCCTGATTATCAGTTTTGTTCTTCATTCATTTACTTTAAGGGGGAAAGCTTGGTATTTAGATGTTTTAAATTGCATCTTCCATTTTTAAGTCTATAAGCTATTAAAAGCATTCCCTTAACCAAAATCACCTCCTGAAAATTTTACTACATTGCAAGTACTTTTTTTTCTCTCACTTCATTTTGTTTAAATGAAGGAGAAACATCCAGTGCAATTGCTCAAATACCTTGTTGATGTTAAGTGCTTCTGTTTATTCACTTTAAGTCTTTGAGTAAATGGTGCTATAATTGAATTTAGCCCTACTTCTTAAAACCAATCTGGGTGGTGATATGGGAAAGAGCCAGTTTCAATCTTGAATGATAGGGTATTTGAAAAGGAGCTCCTCTCCATTCGTGGTAAGATGTCTTACAGAACAGTATAAAATAAACTGCATAGAGGATTATATTCAAACAGTCATTCCACTTGGCATGCAGCGATTTCAGTTCAATTCAGTGAGCATATACCAAGCACCTATTAAATGCCATTCAGTAGTCCAGACAACAAAGACTTTAAGCAGATGCAATGGAGATCACGATACAGCTTTTCTATCCTTTAGGGTATAGCCAAAAACAGTTATGTATTCACTTAATTTAATGTAGTAAAAGTGATAAAAATAGCATGAGCAAAATGCTATGGGGATATGGTGGAAGTTGTGATTTTTTTCTACCCAAGAGGAGCTAGAAAAAGCTTCAAAGAGTAGATGATTTCTGAACTAAGCCTTGAAGGATTAGAGACTGTTAGTGGTATTTCAGTCTGTTCATCAAGGCACAGAGCCATGTCAAAGCCTATGTCTGCAACATAGCATGTGTGGCAGGGGCAGGATTGAATGGGGGTTAGAGATGAGACTCAGTGAATTGTGAGGGCAGATGGAGCTCATGGCCCTCTGTCCCTCAGATGAGATCTAGTTCTTTTGTACTCTCTTCTATTTCAGTGACTGATGACAGCACCCACCAGCTGTGTTAACCAGATGCTTGGAAGACATCTTTAATCACCCCTCATGAGAAATTCCTTACCATTCCTGCCATTTTTGCCTCCTAAATATCTCTGGAACATATTTCCATGTCTGCTGCTACTCCCCTCATTTAAGCCATCATCTTTTATTTAGATCAGAGCAGTAGCCTCCTAAATAGACTCCCTGCCTCCACTCTCATTCTCTTTCATTTTCATTTCCACAAAGCAGTGAGAATATTTTCAAAGGGTAGTTCTCTTCATGTGACCTCTCCCTGTGTAGAAGCTTCAATTATTTCCCACTGTTGTTTATTCCACTGTTGGGATAAAGAATGAATTCTATCTCTGATTGGTGTGGCTGAGTGGGTTGAGCACTGGACTGAGAACCAAAGGGTCACTGGTTCGATTCCCAGTCAGGGCACAGGCCACATTCCCAGTAGGGGACACGTAAGAGGCAACCACACGTTGTTTCTCTCCCACTCTCCCTTCCCCTTTGTCAATAAATAAATAAATAAACTAACTAATTAATTAACTTTAAAAACAGAATGAATTCCCGTGTAGAGAGTCTGCTTGGTCTGGCCCATCTCCCTCTCTAGCCCCATCTCACACCACACTGTTTTGCTACTGGCTTCCTGTGTTTCCTTAACCTGTGCCCCACTCCCTCCCACTGTGGGGACATTGTATACACTGTTTACTGTTTCTGGAAAGCAAACCCTCTTTCATCCAGTTAACTTCTGTTTATTCTTCAGATCCCAATGCATCATTTGTTTAGTGCCCGGTTTTCCCTTTAAGCCGCCAGCTATATGAGGTCAGGGAATTTTTCTCCATCTGTTTAAAGCAGCATCTCTAGAGCCTGGCTGATAATAGCGCAGAGGCTGCTCAAAAAGTAGGTGGTCAATGAGAATGGGTGTATTTCAGTATAGGGGTTAATCCAAGCTGGGATGAAAACTCAGCCTGATTTAGAACTATTTTCTTAAACTAACTGCTGTCTGGATTGCTTTTGTTTTCATGAAAATTAACATTCCTCCTGCTACCAGAATGTGTTTTGTCTGCATTCTGGCTGAAACTTTTGCAGCAAAGTAAGTGCTACATGTAAGTTATTAGCTTATTTTCATTTTACTTTCAATTTAATGTCTCTACTTAGGTCACAGTAGACACACCAACCAGCCCAGTTACCAGTGGACTTCCACTTTTCTTTGTTATAGCTGTTACAGCCATCAAGCAGGTAAATTTATTTACAATTTTGCTTGTATTTTATTCCTGTCTGGTTTAAATTTCATTGTCAAAGGTCTTTTTTTCCAAATGTATATAGAGTGGGCATTGTCTCTGATGGATTTAACTTACATTTGGTTCCTGTTGAAAACCTGTTAAAATGATTGTAAAGTACATGCTCAATTTTCTTGCTCCATTCCTCCTCAATATTTGTGTGTGGCAGTGTAACTCATAAAGAAAGACTAGGTGGAAGGTATAGCTTAGTCAGGAAATGGGAGGCAGATTTTTAATGTGCATTAATTTTTTCATTTCAGTATGTCTGTCACAAAAATTTCCATTCTAGTGGGCTTTTTTTGTTTGTTTGTTTGTTTGTTTGTCTATAGCAGAGAACTCAAGAGCATAAATATTTTAATCTTTTTGTCTTTCCTGAGGATGCTGAAGGGGATGGTGGGTAGAGACTTTTATTGTTTCTTGTCAAAGCTGACAACTGCCAGTTTGTAATGCTGATGTTATTAAGGGACTAAAGACGCTAAAGGTATCCATTTGCCTGCCTGCGGCAAGAAAGGTAAGGGTTTATTTTTAGATAGTAGCCCATGTCCAGAGTCACAGGTGAGCTAATGCTCAAAGACCTGGCTCCCCCATGGCTTCCAAGGGTCAGGTTATATTGGGGAGAAATCATTTGTCATGGTGACTAAGGGAGTCAGGGTTGTGACCTCTACTGAGTGGTCAGCACTAGGGTAGGGGTACGTGAACGGCACAGCCGGTCCAGATGCAGCCGTGGCATTGTGTGGTCTGGTTTTGCTGCATTTCTGGGCCTGGAGCTGAAACACAGCCGAGGCCTAGATGTTATCCCTAGTTTGACCGAAACTGTCTCTGTGGTCAACAGACCTGATGCTTTGTTCCTGAGAAAATTTGATACTGATCAGAACTTCATTGTCCTGAGGGCTTAATGCTTAAGGGAGTGGTCATGGAGCAGAGAAGGAGGCAGGTGAGACAGGGTGCCGGATGAGGCCAGTTTGAATTAAAAGAAAAGAAAGGAAAAAAGGTTATACTAAAGAAATGAAATTCCTGCATGGTTACAATGTCTTTGAAATATTTTGAGCATTTCATATGATAGTACCTTTTAGACAGTACTTATCAAAGTGCTTTTAACAGTGTCTCAACTTCCAAATAAAGGTCTCCTTAACAGTATTCAGAACAACATTCCTTTCCTCTTGGGGTTATCTGGTCTTCTATCGTGCCTAACAGAAACTACAAGAATATTTTATCGAGTTCTTGGTTGCTAAATGAAGACTTTTGGAATGTTCTTTCCCTTAGGCTATTAGGATTATTTTCTTTAATATCATACAATTGCTACTTCACAAAATTGCCTGTATGATTTCAAAAGCTCTTACTGATTCATTTGATTCTCAGTACTAATTTGTGTTAGGGTCTTTCTCTTCTCACTGAAGTGATAGCCTTGCCTTGTCATAAAGAGTGACAGAATAGGAATGAATGTAGAAATTGAGAAAGAGGGGGGGAAGTGATCAAAGGATTCTTTAAACAGTTATATCTGAAAAGGTACAGACATATTATAAAGAAAAAAGGGAAGTGATATTAAAAACAAGGAGAGAAGGTTGTTCCAAAACAAATGAATAGCCTCCTTCCTTGGTTCTTTTTCCTTAAATATACTTCAGACAAAAAGCTGAAAGAAAAATGAGCCATTAGACTTTCCCCTGATTACCTTTAATTCTAAAAAATGAACACCAATTTATATTCTTCTATCACTAAGTCAGTGTAGAAGTTTCCCTGTTGATCTCTAAAACAAATCGTAGATTCTCTGCCAAAATAATCCTAGCTTGCCTTTTCTATTCTGTCCCTGGGAGAATTTACTTTCCTCAGAGATAATCATTCTAGTAGTCTACTACAGAAGAATACCATATTTTGCCTTGTATAATGTATACTTTTATGCCCAAAATTTTTAGTGAAAAATAAGGATGTGCTAAAAATAATGATTATACATGCTTTTTTAAAAAGATTTTATTTATTTATTTTAGACAGAGGGGAAGGGAGAAAGAGAAACATCAATGTGTGGTTCCCTCTCGCACGCCTCCTACTGGGGACCTGACCTGGACTACAACCCAGACATGTGCTCTGACTGGGAATTGAAACAGCAACCCTTTGGTTATCAGGCTGGTGCTCAATCCACTGAGCCACACCAGCCAGGGCATATACATGGGTATAATGATTACATACCATGGGTATAATAATGGGCATAATAATCCCATGTATAATGCATACAAAAACATGGGTCCACATTATGCACAGGAGTGCATTATACACGGCAAAATATAGTATTTGTCGTTAAGTCTGTAAGAAAATACCATCCAGAAAAAATTTTCTTCAAATTCAAAAGTGGAAACAACATTACCTTAAATAAGAGTAAAATTAGAAGGATGGATCATTGTCCTTCACAGTTGAAGAATATTAAGGCTCTAATGCCTGTTTTCATTACTAGTTAAAATATAGAATGAAGAAATCTTTTAATACAATAAAGGTATTTACTTAAGGGTCATTTGGAAAGCCTATCTTAGTTATTCTATAAAAGTGTACAGTGTTGTCTCTTTATAATTATGAATTGAAATAAATACTATAATTGTAAGTATCTGCTGGCAGCTCATGTAGGGGATTATAGAAATTAATAACTTCATTATGTGAGCTTGACATAGGGTTTTGTTTTGTTTTTTTATCCTTCTAGGGATATGAGGATTGGCTGAGACACAGAGCTGACAATGAAGTCAACAAGAAAACTGTTTACATTATTGAAAATGCAAAGCGAGTTAGAAAAGAGAGTGAAAAAATCAAGGTATTAATTTCTGTAGCCCATTCTTTCTTATTGTGGTGTAAACACACCTTTTAAAAATGAACAGTTAATTCAGTGGCATTTAGTACATTCTCAGTGTTGTGCAACCATCAACACTGTCTAGTTCCAGAGCATTTTCATCACCCCCCAAAACTCCTATAAGCCATTAAGCAGTCATGCCACATTCCTCCCTTCCCCAGGCGCTGGCAACCACTAATCTTCTTTCCGTCTCTATGGATTTACCTATTTTAGATATTTTATATAAAAGAAATAATACACTCAGCAGCCTTTTTTGGCTGCTTTCTCATTTAATTTAATGTTCCTGAGAGTGATCATGTTGTAGCATGTATTAATTCTTCATTAGTTTTTACAGCTGAATAACATTACATTGTGTGGCTATACCACAGTCTGTTTATCCATTTACCAGTTCTTGGAAATTTGGCTTTTTTTCATCTGTTGGCTATTAGGAATATTGCTGGTATGAATATTTCATATAAGTTTTTGTTTGTACACCTGTTCTCAATTCTTTGGGGTATATACCTAGGAGTAGACTTGCTAGGTGATAACAGTAATTCTATGTTTAACTTTTTCATGAACTACAAATTGTTTTCCATAGCACCTTACCATTTTACATTCTACCAGCAATGCATAAGAGTTCCAAAGTTGTTATTATTTTTTACTATCTCAGGCATTTTAGTTTTTATTGAAACTAATCAATGTTTATTATTACTCAAGATTCTTGTCAGTAAGATTTCAAACTTGTCTACATGAAATAATACTTTTGCTGCCAACAGTTTTATTTTAGTATTTTTATTTTTTAAATTATACTTTATTGACTATGCAATGACAGTTGTCCCAATTTCTCCCCCTTTGCCCCCCTCCACCCAGCACCCCCAACTCCCCCTGGCAATCCCCACACCATTGTTCGTATAAGTTCTTTGGCTACTCTATTTCCTATGCTGTACCTTACATCCCCATGGCTGTTCTGTAACTACCTACTTGTACTTCTTAATCCCCTCACCTCTTCACCCACTCCCCCACACCCTCGTCCCATCTGGCAACCATCAAAATGTTCTTTGTATCCATGCTTCTGACTCTATTCTTTGTGTTTGCTTAGTTTTTTAGATTCAGTTGTTGATAGAGATGTATTTATTGCCATTTTATTGTTTATAGTTTTCATCTTCTTTTTCTTAAATAAGTCCCTTTAAGCCCTGGCTGGTGTAGCTCAGTGGATTGAGCTCGGGCCTGCGAACCAGACAATCGCAGTTCGATTCCCAGTCAGGGCACATACTGGGGTTGCAGGCCAGTTCCCAGCAGGGGACGCATGAAAGGCAACCATACATTGATGTTTCTCTTCCTCTCTCCTTCCCTTCCCCTCTAAAGATAAATAAATAAAATCTTTAAAAAAATAAGTCCCTTTAACATTTCATATAATAATGGTTTGGTGATGATGAACTCCTTTAGTTTTTTCTTGTCTGGGAAGCTCTTTATCTGCCTTTCCATTCTAAATGATATCTTTGCTGGGTAGAACAATCTTGGATGTAGGTCCCTGGTTGTCATGACTTTGAATATTTGCCAGTCCCTTCAAGACTTCAGAGTTTCTTTTGAGACATCATCTGACAGTCTTATGCGAACTCTCCTGTAGGTAACTAACTGCTTTTCCCTTGCTGCTTTAATGATTCTGTCTTTATGTTTAACTTTTGACATTTTAATTATGATGTGTCTACATCCATCTTATTTGGGACTCTCTGTGCTTCCTAGACTTGCATGTCTATGCCCTTCACCATATTAGGGAAATTTTCATTCGTTATTTTTTCAAATAGATTTCCAATTCCTTATTCTTTCTATTCTCCTTCTGGCACTTTGGGATGAGAATGTTGGACCACTTGAAGTTGTCCCAGAGGCTGCTTGCACTATCCTCATTTTTTTTTTTTGGATTCTTTATTTCTTGTTGTTCTCATTAGTTGTTTCTTGCTTCCTTATGTTCCAAATCATTTATTTGATTCTTGGCTTCATCCACTCTACTGTTATTTCCCTATAAATTGTTCTTTATTTCAATTAATGTATCCTTCATTTCTGACTACATCTATTCTGTTGAGGTCCTCACTAAGTTCCTTGAACATCCTAATAACCATTATTTTGAAGTCTGCATCTGATAGATTGCTTATTTCCATTTTGTTTAGCTCTTTCTCTGGAGTTTTCTTCTATTCTTTCATTTGGGCCATGTTTCTTTGTCTCATTTTAGCAGCCTCCCTGTGTTTGTTTCTATGTATTAGGTAGAGCTGTTATGACTCCCTCTCTTGGTAGTATGGTCTAATATAGTAGGTGTCCTGTAGGGTCCAGTGGCACAGCCTGCCCTATCACCCAAGCTGGGTACTCGAGGTGCGCCCTCTCTGTGGGCCGAGTATACCCTCTTGTAGTCCAGCCATGATTGCTGTCGGCAGATCAATGGGAGGGCCTTACCCAAGCCAGTCAGCTGCAAGAATTGGCTGTGACCATTGACCACCAACTTCTGCCCTCATGGAGGATCAGCTGTGCAGAGGCAGGGTGGTGGTGCCCCAGTGTGGCCTGTAGCTGTCCCCTGGGTGCACAGTCTCTGTGGTTTCCTGGGTGGTGCAGGCCAGGGTCCTCCTGAACCTGTGTTTTGCCTGGTGCCACCCTTCCTGAGCTATAGAACAATCTGAGATGGCTGCTCCTTGTGCTGGGCTTGGAGATTCCAGGCAAAGCCAAGCTGTGAATCTAGGCTGACAGCTGCTAGTGCTGGACCTGAGGCTCACTGAGGCTGGGTGTTGCTTGTTTGAGATGATTTAGGAAGTTATGAAGCGTGAGCCAAGACTGTCCATTCATATGGAAAAGGAGCTTTTTTGTACCCACTGGACACTAATTCCCCCTGCCTCCAGCCCTTCATAAACACCTTTCTATTTTCTGTTTTCATGACTGATTATATTAGAGAGACACTTCCTATAAGTAGGATCATACAGTATTTGTCCTTTTGTGACTGGCTTATTTTACTTAGCATGTCTTCAGGCTTTATTCACAGGATAGCGTATGATAGGAGTTTCTTTTTAAGACTACATAATTTTTTATTGTATGTGAATAGCACATTTCCCTTATCCGTTCATTTATTGATGGACAGTTGGGTTGCTTCCGCCCCTTGGCTATGTGAATAATGCTGTTATGAACACACATGTATAAGTAACTCTTCAAGATCCTGCTTTGACAAGATACGGAAGCAACCCAAGTGCCCATCAATAGACAAGTGGATAAGACAGTTGTGGTATCATCACCTCACACCTGTCAGAATGGCCATCATCAGTAAATCAGTAAATATCAAGTGCTGGTGAGGATGTGGAGAAAAGGGAACTCTCCCACAATCTTGGTGGGAATGCAGTTGTTGCATCCACTATGAAAAACAGTATAAACTTTCCTTAAGAAATTGAAAATGGAGCTGCCTTATGACTCAGTGATTCCACTTCTGGGCATGTATCCAAAGAAACTTAAAACACTAATTTGACTATGTTCATTGCAGCATTATTTACAATAGCCAGGATTTGGAAGCAAGCCAGATGTTCATCAGTAGACCAGTAGATAAAAAACAACAGTAGTACATATATATAATGGATTACTACTTGGACATAGAAAAGAACAAAATCTTATATTTGCGACAGCGTGGGTAGACCTAGAGGGTATTATGCTCAGTGCAAAAAGTCAGGGAAGACAAATACCTATGATTTCACTTCCATATGAAATCTGAAGAACACTATAAATGAAGAAACAATATTGAAACGGACTCCTCACAGACATAGAGAGTGTACTTACTGGTAGTTACCAGAGAGGAGGGAGATTGGGGGACTGGATAAAAGAGGTGATGGAATTAAGAAGCACGAATTGCTATTTACAAAACAGTCACAGGGATGTAGAGTACGGCATAGGAATATAGTCATTAATGTTGTAATAACTGTATGGTGCCAGGTATGTACTGGAAATATTGGAGGAATGCTTTGTAAAGTATATAATTGTCTAACCACTATGCTGTACACCTGAAACTAATACAAAGTAACACTGAAAATAAACTAATTGAAAATTTTTTAATAAATATTTTTAAAAAAATATCCTGCTCTAAATTAGGTTAGATATTTACCCAGAAGTAGATTTTTTGGATCATATAGTCATTCCATTTTTGATTTTTTGAGGCGCTTCCATACAGTTTTCCACAATAGATGCACAATTGTATGTTTGCACCTAGAGTGCACAGGGTTTCAACTTCTTGACATCATTTCCAAGAATTGTTATTTTCTTTTTTGACAATGACCCTTCCGATGGGTGTTAGAGGATATCTCATTTTGGATTTAATTTGCATTTCCCTAATGATTAGTGATATTGAGCATCTTTTCATGTACTTATTGGCCATTTGTTGTCTTTGGAGAAGTTTCTATTCAAGTCCTTAGCCCATTTTTAAAAACATTTTATTTATATCCATTTTAGAGAGGGGGAGGGAGAGAGAAAAAGAGGAAGAGAAACAGCAGGGGGTGCCTCTTGTGCGCCCCCCTACTGGGGGCCTGGCTCACAACCCAGGCATGTGTCCTGCCTGGGAATCAAACCAGTGACCCTTTTATTTGCAAGCCGGCACTCAGTCCAGTGAGGCACACCAGCCAGGGCCATGTGCCCATTGTTAATCTGGCTGCTTGTTGTTGAGTTATAGAAGCTCCTTATATATTCTGACTATTAACCCTTTATCAGACAGATGATTTGCAAATATGTTCTCCCATTTCATAGGTTGTCTTTTTAATTTGTTGATAGTGTCCTTTGGTAAGAGATTTTTAGGTTCCATGTATTTGCATTTCTAACACTGATGTTTTCCTGTGCTTTTGGTGTTCTATCCAAGAAATCATTAAATCCAATATCCTGAATCTGTTCCCTCATGTTCTTCTAGGAGTCTGATAGATTGAAATCTCACATTTAGTTCTTTAACTTATTTTTGGGTAATTTTTGTATACAGTGTA